TCAAAAAAATATACTATCGATAGAACCATCGATAGCACGGTTGCCATCTATTAAACAAAAAAACCAAATATGAAAAAAACCAAATTAAAACAAACAAAACAAATTTGTTTTTCTCCACGTATGTATATATTACAAAGGGCAAAACTTATTAAACTTGTGCGTTCGATCACATATATGCACGTTACATAAGAAATAGGAATTTGAAAAATTCATTTTTGGCATTTAGTATGCAATAATACTTGTCGTAAAGAAAAAATTGGGAAATGTTTGCTTATTTTGACCACGATTTGGGGTGGGGCGAACTGGTAGGGAGCGTGGCTCCCCAAACCCACCTTAAACGCAAGAGGATGGACGCCGCTTTATAAAAAGTCACCTCTCCCCCCTTCACAACTAGACCTGTAAGAAGAATTCCCCTTTCTGTGTTGCCGAAGAGAAGTGGCTGAACACCTTTTGCAGAGATATTTCGTGGTATTATTTTCTAGACAGATCAGCTCGGAAATTTGCAACAAAATACCATATTTGCAACCGACATTATTTTAAAAATTAGTGCACAATAAAGCATGAACTGTGGTCCAAAAGTGTGTGTAAAAGTTTTTTGATTCGAATTACTCGTTTGGGCACAGTACCCCAAAATCGTTGTACAAATAATGGCTAATTAAAAAAAAAAACAAATCAGGGAAAAACTATCAAACAACCAAATAAAAAAATAGAAGAAAAAGAACCAAGTTTGGTTGGAAACAAGGAACAGTGGCAACCGTGATCGATAGTTTTGCAACTGTCAAAACGCTGCTGTTTTTGCAGTTTTCTGTCGGTGTCAAAAATTTTCGTTTGCATTTCTGATATTTTATCCATACTACTTGCATATTGTCGAGTTTAAAGTAATCAAAAGGGCACTGCTGTACGGAAAATAACGAGGTATTACTTGCAAATATTTGGTAAATAAACTCTCCTTTTGTGTCTTGTACGCCGCTCTAACAAACAACGGCAAGGTTAAGGCTACAAAAAAAAACTTGGAAGCGTACCTCTATCACCAGAACCCATCTAAACATGGCCTCAACAATGCAGCTGGAGTTCTCGCAGGCCATGTCTGATTTCAAGACCATGTTTCCAGACATGGATCGTGAAGTTATTGAGGCAGTGTTGCGTGCAAATCAAGGCGCAGTGGATGCGACAATCGACCAGCTGCTGGCAATGTCAACCGATAACCAGAACGAAAAGCTGCGCAATGAATTGGATGCTAAAACGTCACCACAACGCAGTTTAATCAATCTGCACGGCACGGAAACGCAACCTGCGACCGCACAGTTGATTGACACCTCTGATGGTAGTGGCACAACAGTGCCGAACAATCAACAAACTCCAGCCGCAGCGGCCAATGCAGTGTTATTGAATCTCAGTGGCAGTAATGGTGTAAATGCATCACCCAATCATAATACAGGTGCATCACCTAAGCAACGATTGGTAAGTGCCACCAACAAATCGTCAGCCAGCGGAACACCAAAACGCAATGCTCCTCATGGTACACGACGTTGGAATCCACCTATGATCGGCCCTCTCCCGCCTGGCTTTCTACGCATTACCCCAACCTCGCAGGATGGAGTGACGCGTGATTTTGACTTGCCAGACGAACAGTTTGCAATGATGTTGCAAAATGAGGAATTCATGAATCAATTGCGATGGAATCAGGAATTTATGAACGCTCTGGAAAAAGAACAGTGCGGCAAAGCTAAAGGTGAAGATGATGCAGCATTCAAAGAGCGACTAAAGCATATGGGTAAGATGTCCAGGAAGAAATTCTTACAAATGGCGCGAGTTTTTACGTGGCAGCGCAACAAGAAGACAACAACAGCCAAACAAATTGATTCGCTGCCATTGAAGGAAGAGCCTAGCGACGATGAAGAGCACCATCATCAGCAACAGCGTAAGTAAAGGGAGGAATAAGATAGCAAAGGAAAGACAAGTACGCTTAGGATACGGTATGACTTTGTTTAGACATTACTTATTGTTTCAATTTAAAAAAAAACATGTATTTTTAAGTAAAAGTAGTTAGTTAAAATATTCCGGTTTACTTTTTAGTAATACATATGTATGTATAATAATTTTTTTATTTCATGCTTTACATACGAGATTGCAATTATCTAATGTGATGCTCCTAAGATTTCCCTGCTGATAAGCGTATTTGTTTATACTTATTCTTTAATATATTTAAAAGTGGTTGCTTGTTAAGGCAAACACCTAAATTCTACAAGTACACAAAAGCTTTGAAAAAATTAAAACTTTATCTTAAGTGATCTTAGTTATCAAATAATGTATGAGAATTATGTTAAGACGAGTAAATGGCGTGAAAGGTTGTAGTGTATAAATGAGAAGTGCAATAAAAGATTGTGCAGTTGAGCTTGGAAACTATTATTTAAAGCAAATATTTTGTTTTTTATAGCTTGATAAGCAGTTGTTATTTGTTATTGACTGATACAAAGTACGTGGACGTTGTAATATGTACATATATATTTAAATAAATTGTATGATTTTTAACAGTATTTTATATTTTGGCCTGATGTACAATTTGTTAAAATTTAAGATTGATATGAAAGAAGTTTTGATTCCAAATGCAATTTTTGTATTTGTAAAGAATTTTTCCAAATTTTTAAATACACAAATTTTATATTAAGGCTCAAATCGTTATCAACGTAAACATTCAACGTTGGGTATAAATGTGCAAGCTTCCTTGTAGTAAAATTCGAATCTCAAAGCGATGGTAGTGCAATAAATGATAAATTGACTTAAATTTAATGCTGTTCTTGCACCTTATAACGTTTGTTTTAAAAGAAAATACTTGGCAGGACTGAATAGATACATAATTATTAGATTAATAACAGCAAGAGGCGCAGAGATTTAAAAAATGATTCACCAGTGTATGCACATATGTATAATTATGTAACTTAAACCATCAAAATTAACGCTATAATAAGAAAACTGGTCTGAAATTCTTCAAACCAACATAAAATGTCTCAAAAATCTGCAAGCCAGAAAATTAAAATTCAAATTCGTATGGTATGCAGAGTGAGAATTAATTTATCATCAGAAAAGAGTTAAAAACCACAAACCCCAAAAAAGCTTATATTGCATAAATTCCTAGAAACATACACATATATACATATATGGTTAAATTAATAACTGTTATGATAAATTAAAATTGTATAAATCTTAATAAAACATGACTAGTCACAATTAAATTTATAAAATAAAGAATAAAACTACATGCATATATTGTATCAAATTTTCCGTCAACTAGTAACAATAGTTTTTACTTGTCGTAGATAAACTAAAAAGAGTTTATTAATAATAATCAGTAAGCAAAGAACAAAAATATAAAAGTAAACTATTTAAAAGGCGCATTCAAGTTTATTGTAATCGAAAAATTTGTGTTTGAGGTAGAAAATTATTTAATGCAATTTCCAAATTTCACACAATGCAGGTTTCTCAATTAAAAACTGTATAATGCACAGTTTCATATTTCAAAATTTGTGTGGTACTTTATATTTACTTACATATATACATACAAATATATGTATGTATGTATTAATATGCATGTGCAATTGTTTAAAAAAAATTGATTTGCTAAAGAATTGAATGTTCATTTGTGTTTAAATCTCTGCTTTGACTTTTTTGAATTTCCTTTTGAGTTCTCCGTAATGGCAAGATCGCAAATTTACACCCATATTCATAAAAAATAAAGAAGACTTTAACTGCTTTATAAAACGATAATTTGTACGAAAATATATCTTTATAAAGCTCTTTAAACCTATATGTTTTTTTAAGAATAAGGCCATTAAGATGTTTGCATTATTGGTTTTTAAATTATAAATGCTTCCGAAAATATGCATATCACATTGTATATGTGCCAAATATTACTTCATTCAAATTACGTCACTAAACTGCTTTTCAGCTCATGTTAAAAAAAAAATGTAATGCAGTTATCCACTTTGACACTCGAGAACGGAAAATAACTGTAAAATGGCTAAACAGCGAAACCGGGTTGTCTCCAAAACGCCCAATTATACAAATAATTTCCCAAAAACCAATGGTATTTAAACTTTAAGCACTCGTACACGAATATTTTTTAAAAATTGGTCAATATTAAAAATTGTAAGAACCGTTGATCCAAAAAAAATGAGAAATAAATTTACTCTGAATTAAATTACTAAGATATTTTTGGTCTAGTAATTAGTAGAGTACTTCAAATAAAATGTTCAGAAAACAAAACAAGAATTTGGGGATAGCATTCAAAATCTCAAACTAATTCAAATTATTTCGCCTTTGTTCATACTATAAATTGGTTAAACTTTCTTAAAAACTAATTGTAATGTGTGCAAAACAAAACCAAAGTGAGGTTGAGCAATTTAAAGAATCTGTTATAAGTACATACATATGTAGTTACTGAAGAAAATATAACAAAATTTTTGTATTTATTTGAGCATAAATTACAGAAAGAATATATAATAACTATGTAATCCAGATCTCAAACAAGTCGTCTAAAAACTATATGCATTAAAAATAATAATTAACCAAAAGTGATATGCTCCCAATTTTAAAATTAGGATTTCGCAAAATATACATGCATGCATACACCTGCGTTCAGCTAATTATGAACGATATTCAAAACGATATTGTTTGCAAATTATGTATTTTTAACCGACTTCCAAAAAAGGAGGAGGTTATCAGTTCGTCGGAATATATATTTTTTTTTATTTTTTTTTTTTCAACAATAATTTTTAACGACTTGAGACTTGCACTTTCTTAGACTACAATTGAATGGGCTATGGAAGTGTACCCGAAAATTTTCTAATTATTCTGATTAAAAATGTGAAAATTTTGATGAAAATTTTTTGAAGTTTGATTAATTTTTTTTGCAATATTTTCAAGCTTTGAAACTTTTATTATTGTCGTTTCTGTTACAAATTGAATAATATATTTTAAACGAAAATTATTAAAATAAAAAGATAAACATAATTTGTAAACAATGTCATTTTGAATTTCGTGTCTATTTATTTGAACGCAGGTGTACATACTATGTATGTACATACAATATATACATGCGAACTCATTTTGAAATTCGACTACCTAACTTTGTAAGTAGAAAAAAATAGAATGAAACCTTTGTTCTTACGGAAAGGCGACGCAGAAAAAAGCATACAAAGTACAGAAAAGTTAAAAAAAGGCAGCACGTAACTACATGCTTATTAAGTAGCACACACTCCATATGTATGCAAATGATTGTATCATAGCAAAAACTAAGCTCTCATAAATAACAGAAGAAGAGTTACATATACTACATCAATTTAATTTAAAAAAGGCCATAAAATATGTAGAAGACATAATACAAATTATGTATGTAAAAATAAAGTTTACTAAGTATATACATAATAAAGAGAAACAAATAAATGTTACTCAAAACTTAAAGCCAACTCTATTTTTAATTCAGATTTGGTGCTTTATATGCTTAACCTACACAAACGCAATTGCCTGGATAGGATCGTTATGCAAAGAAAAGTAGGTGTATATGAATTAATGTGCAAATATGTATATGTACGAAAGTTTCCGCTGCGATCTATGTATGTACATACAAATGTATGTATGTAAATATTTAGTTCACGTTGTTTTGTCTAAAGATAGTAATAAATTCGACTCGCAGAGCTTTTATGTATTGTTTTGCAGTGTTTACTTTTAATTACTCTAGTATTTGTTTTTTTTTTTTTTATTGTTGCACCATTAATTCTAAATATATTAGTAATACCCTTTTGTTTATGTGTGTACATGCATACATACAGTGACGAACAAAAGTATTGGCAAAGTGAATTTTTCGCGTTAGTTTTTCAATCTAGTTTATTTTCGATAATTTTTTATAAAAATATAGTTCATTTTACACCAAAAAACATAAAAATGAAATCTCTAAACTTTGTGCAAAACTCAGGAAAATTCATTAAATTTGCACACTAATTTGCAACTTTTAATTCAGATTTTTTTTGAAAAATTCTAAGTTTTATAGTCCATTCATTTTAGTACGACAGAATGCAAGTTTAAAGTAGCTACAAAATCGCGTTGATTTTTGGCAATTTTTTTAGTGGAAGCTGCTGCTCATTTTCTCCATACAAAAAATAATTGTCGAATATACCTTGCTTGCGTGAACAAAAAATACCAAAAATCAATGGGATTTTCTAGCGACTTCAAACTTGCACTTTGTTATACTAAATTTGAATGGGCTATAAAACTGCATACTTAAATTTTTTCTAAAAAATCTGAATAAAAAGTTGCAAATTAGTGTGCAAATTTGATGAATTTTCCTGAGTTTTGCACAAAGTCAAGAGATTTTATTATTATGTTTTCTAGTGCAGAATAACCAATATTTTTATAAAAAATTATCGAAAATAAATTAGAATAAAAAACTTTGCATATATTGCGAAAAATTCACTGTGCCAATACTTCTGTTCGACACTGTATGTACTTACTTCTTGCATTGTAGCTAACATGAACTTTGCTATCTGTTTTGCAATTTCGTACATACGTATTTTCCTTTAGATATTGTAGTGTCATGGTGACACTCGTAGCTCAATAGATACATATTTACATATTACATACATCACATAAGCGTTTGCAGTTTCGTTTCATGAAATTTTAATTCGTCTTTGGAGTTCTTCTTGCTGTGGTTTCCGTTAACACGACTAAAAAATTCGTTCAAGTATAGTATATACATTACAGTTTATAGTATAGTGTAATTGGAATTACATGCATACATACTTACATGTGCGTGCATACATACATGCATGTGTTTATATGTTTGAACATACATATTTACTATATAAATATGTTTTAGTTCTTCATTTTTATTGCTGTCATTTCAAAAAGGGCTGAACTTTTTACCGATCGCTTCCGTTGATCCACCATAATTGCAGACTTTCATACATACATATATGTATGTATATGTACACATCGTCGTTTAAAGTACAAAACCGCGTATCAACAAAATGCAAAACCGCGTATGTGAGGTTGCATAAATTACTTTATAGAGAGTAAAAACAGTCATATTTCAAAATGGTTCTCCTTTTTATAAAGCAATCGCATTTCTGGCTACTATATTTCAGGACGAATGGATAAGGATTGAGCCAAGCGCTTGTGTAAGCAAATCCAATTTTTGGCAGCCAATGTCAGTTACGCTGTTTTGCAGAATGACGATACGCGGTTTTGTACTTTAAACGACGATATATAATTCGATATTTTGAAACATTCTTATATTACGTTCAAATTGGCTGTTAAATGAAAAAGGGCTTTTTGGAAAACACAATCGTCCACATTGAACATTTTGAGTTGATTTCGACGGTTGTTTGATTACCAATAAAAATTCGAAAAACAGAAGCATACATACCATTCATTTTAATTTCAATATTTAGCACTATTCGTTTTGGACCCTATCATCTTAAACACAGTAAACGCATGGGGAGGCAGCCATACGCCTTACTCGATCACGGTGTCAAGTCGAAAATGCGTTGCACCTTTCGAAAACCATCAAAATAATTTTTAAATCCTTTAGAGCCTTCAAAATTAAAGTTCCCCTTCCGAAGAAAACTGTTACTTTCTAGTTGTCAT